TTAACGAAACTTGAAGCTCCTATCGCAGCACTGCAGTTGCTTCTCCACGGAGTGATGCTATATCTCCGGAGACTTCAACAGAACAGCATTTCTACCGCTTGAACGCGAGCGACTACAATAGTCAAAAAGGCATACATAATTGTAGGGTCTTTACTTATTATAGACGACTATTGCGCAATTAATCCCCCGGTACATATAATTAGCGATACACATGAGACTCATCTCTGAGGGCATATCTTCAGCCAGGAATCGTCGTGGCCAACCCTTCTCCCCCCCGCCGAGTTCCAGTTGACGTTAACACATACAAACATTCTGACTCCACAATCTCCATTACTACCATCATATGTCCGGCGGACGCCTCGACAAGGGCCTCGACCTATTGGACAGTGAGCCTGTGCCCCTCAAGTGGCACGCGCCGGACCGCCATAGTGCTTAACACAGTATATATATCAACGTAGTAATGCTTCCCTGGGACCTCGACTTAACGGACACAATTAAAGGCCATGAGTGTTGTGCTCGCCCTTCGTGGAGATAGTGTCGTCGTCTGTCGGTCGTTCGTCCTCCAGCATGTGTTTTGGTACACAGTCCTCGTAGCTGATCTGAGATACCGGAGTTCCGAGTTGGTTAGCCACAGCTGGGCCACCTTTGGGAGCCGCGGACGCCCGACCGGTTGATGCAGGAGCAGTTGCTGGTGAAGTCTGGATCTCGTCCTCTTCGTCTTCATAGCTATCCCTGGAGGTCCGGTGCTGCATCTTATGGACTTCCTCAGCTAGGCGCATACTTAGAGGGGTCCTCGCATTGTCGGCGGGTGGCCGGGCCAATTGGCTTTCCGCAGACACAGAGCCGCGCTTCATAGTGTCGATTTGTTGTTCGAGTGCTTGTATCTCTCTGTAGCCACCTTGTATCGGGACAATCTCCAGCTCAGGATACTCCAAGCGCCCGTCTGGCTTCTTGCGGCTACGGTACGTCTCTGAAGAAGTCCTTGCATCACGATTTAGAGTTCCTTGAACAACCTTGCTCAAACCTCCTTTCACAGCCCTACCCAGCTGGGTTGACAGGCTTCGAGAAATAGGAGCGATGTATTTCTTCGATGACTCGCTGGGCTTATCCGTCGACCAGTTCGTACTACTACCATCGGAACCCGCCCGAACCGCAAAGTCCTTTGGGACCACATTATCTTCCTTCCCAGCCGGTCCTGTTCTCTCTTGGCGTGTATGCGATGGCCATCTTGCCCATGATGCGGGGGGCGTACGAAACTTTCGAGGAGTACGACTCCTCGGCTCTACCCTTGGCTCTGCCAGAAGTTCAGAGTTTTGATCGTTCATTAAGTTGACCCATTCTCTAAGAACGCTGCTTGATATATCGGATTGCGGGCTGCTATTATGATCAAGACGGGATGGAGGCTTAAGTGTCTGCCCGTGGTGTGTTATAGGTTTCAGTCCGGGTACACCACTTCCATTGCCCGAACCGGCTCGTTCGGAACCCATAGGCTCATGCTGCTGAGTGGAAATCACGTCTTCATCAGGCGTAATTGCCTCATGTCGCGTACCTGTAGCATCTTCGGAATCGCCAGGTTTTCGACTTATGTTGCATGGTACCGCCCGCTGTTTGCCAATATCTTCCTCCGGTTCTTGTCGATCCGGGTGACTGATTTCGGGACTTAGCTTTCCTGCGGTACTTGAATTAACGTCGGAGATACTACGCCTCTGTACATCTTTGGTCGGCTGCTTCGCCTTTCTCGGTATCGGAAAATGTAACCTAGCAAATATGGAGTTCCTCGCTGCCGATAACGTCTTAGGCTCGTTAACTTCCTCACGAAATTTGCTGGTAATTGGGCTGACAGTATCCCGACGAAGATGAACTCGCCCAAATCTCTTTTCGATAGACTTAAGCTCTGCTTCTCGCTGCTTAAAGCTTGCTGTATCCGAAAGCACTAATGAACTCGTGTCCACCGTCGGTTGCCGCAACTGTTGAATTTCACGCATAGTTAGGTCTAACGTCGACGCTTCATTAGGTGCAGTCTTATACGAGCTCGCTTCCGACTTCTCGACGTCTGCCGTGCGACCCGAGGACATGAAGCCTAGTTATCATCGTTAGGTGCAATGTGAATTTCCACAATCATGGAAGAACTTACTATTAAAGCTTGAGAATGGCGGCATGGTCTTTCGGCCTCCGAAAAGGTCTATTAAACTTAGGCGCGACCCTTTCGCTGTACCCTGACGACTGCTAGGTCTAGTTGTGTGTCTTGAGGATGCATAGTGAGAGGAAGAGACTTCTCGAACCCGATCATCCGGATTTGTTGTTAGGCCGCTGGCAGAATTAGCAGACCCTTTAACAGTATGAGGCAGCTCGTTGGGCCATAAACCCAGTTCCTCAGTTGGATCAATGGCTGCGTCCACATGTGAGCCATCGGGGTGATATTGTAACCCTGAAGCATCATGTCGCGTTATAGATGGGTCATTAACAGTGTTCCCTACCGACTCTTGATGGCCGCCGGCATCATCGGATCGAGCCGATCTGAGCTCGGGATCAGTGATATCTCGGGTCATCTTAAGCATTATATCGCTGGTCCTTCTGCTTGAGGCGGTTGAATCAGATTGTAATACCTGGCTTCGCAACCAAATTTCTAAAGGTGAATCGTTGCCAGAATTTGAATTTGTATCATTAAAACTTTCAGTGTAGTGGTCCTCCGAATTTTCCTTGTTTGGTACACTGTCTTGCTGGTCGTGACTTGACACTGGCTCGCACTGGTTCGTGTCGTCTCTCGGTTCCAGATTGGCCACAGCGATTTGGTCACCTGGGGGATTACTCTCAGCATGGGCCTCAAATTTATCATCTTCTCTGTCGTCCTCTTCAGTCTGCGAATCAACTTTGACGTGTTCTGAATTTGTGTCAGGCTTTGAACCGTCAGGGACTTCAAGGTAGCTCGCAAGTTGTTCAGCGCTGTAAGAAAGTCGCCATGAACAAAGAGATTCCGATCCTCGGGCACTTGGGAGATGGACGGGGGATAACTGAGGAGAAGAAGGGAACTGGAGTAAAGAACCTTGCTCGTTGAGCGTTCCGTGACTTTCGGAAATGGAGCTCTCAGGCGCTCGACTACTCGACCCCGGGTAGCTACTTCGACGGAGGGAGATTGCTGGTTGGGAGTCGCCGACTGGGAGCGAGAGGAGCACATCATCCGAGGGGCCGCCCGCAATATCTTTAGATCCAGATTCGTTCACACTCGAGACACAAAACTCAATATTATCTCGAGGTCCGCCACGACGTAGTCCAACATTAGTAGAACTTTCCGACTTTAACTCATCAACATCGCTTAGCTTTGCTTCAGCTTCGTCTTGTTCTTCCTCGCTTTTCAGCTCTTCTTGGATTCTCTTGTGCATCAGACGCTTCAACTCGGCACGACGTGCAATCTCCTCGTCGCTCGTTCCCAGAGATTGCTGTGAATATCTCTTGGACTCGGATTTCTGAGATAAGTGCCTATTGAACTTGGTCTTGATAGCTTCTAGCGTGCCAGTACTAGAGTTTCTGATAGTTCGCACAGGTTCATCGTCGTCCGAATCTTCAACCTCGAGTATAGTAGGATCGACCGTGGCCTCAGGTATTCCGCCATGCATCAATGATGTTGCCTGTGTGGTTATAATCAGCGGTGGCGACAGGTCGAGTTCGGACGCTGGGAGTTGTGGCTTGGATAGCTTTGCTCGCGGTGGTCGAATGGGAAGTTCAAGTGCGTCTTGGTCAGGTTCTCGATATGCCGATCGTCGACCACGACAGCAGCAGAAAATTGACATTCTCGAGGATTCCAATTAGAAGCGAATAGGACTTGACTAATATTTGCCGCAGATTTCCAAGAAGTATCCGCCAGCTACATAGTAGGAGTTCCCAGCTGGGGGGTAAAGGTTGAATGAGAGACTAGCACCTGAATACCTGGATGATCCCCTTGATACATTTGATGTCAGGCCATCTAACTTAACGTGGAATGTTTTGAAGGAATGAGGTAGGCATCTGAAGCTCGAAGCAGGTGGGTTATCAAGTTCTTTCCCAGGTCGCTTTGGGATTGGGAAGAAGTTACTACCTTAAAGTCTCGTTCAGATGTACGGCAGTCACCTTTCTCGGCATGGTGTCGTCAGGGCGGTAACTCATCAGCCGGTGCATGCCATCTACCTTCCACTCCAATTTATTTCAGTGAGAAGTCACACTTAACATTAAATAGTACGCGTTATTAGACACATACCTTTAGTACCTACATAGAATTACGCATATCTAGCCGCATCAAGGACCTTTATGTTACCCAGTACGCCACGAGAAGACGGTTTGGCGCACATGTTACCTACCTCCTAAATTCTAAGGACAGAAGGATACGCAACGGCGGGTGTCTTTGTAAGAACTGAAGTCCACGGGTGTATGCGTTCTAAACGTACCTTAAAGAGCTAGCATCAGATCCAAGCTAGGATAGATACGGATACTACGCGGTCATATGTTTTAATTATTGTTCAATACGAAGGTTATTTATGAGGATCTTAGCCTTGACGTTTATCACAGCGCATGCAAGGAAGACCTTCTAGATATACTCATACTACGTGCAGAATATTACCATCTCCTATTTAATATGTACATCTTGGGATACTAGGGGCATACGATAAGCTCTTTCATCAAGTAAACGATATGCCGATGTCTGGATATGGTCGTGGAGTGGCTCAAATGACTGCGCGCTCACTTTGGTATAGGCTGATACAGACATCGCAAAATATTATGACAATATTTTTTACGAGTGCTTTTCGCTCTAGATGGGTTTTGACTAGTTTACATGAGGCTCCCTAGGTTCGGTATCTTGGGGTTTCAAAGCGGGTTCTACTAATGACACATAGCACTAGGGTGCGGGCCCTAGAGACTCACGATGGTTTGCAACGGAGAATGAAAGCAAATTTTAGGTATGTATATAATTAATATTAACACAGCCATAATCAACAAGCACTGGGATGAATCAAGTTCAACTTGTTACAGCCCGCGTGGCTCAATCGGTAGAGCGTGAGACTCTTAATCTCAAGGCTGCGAGTTCGAGCCTCGCCGTGGGCTCAATTCCCATGGCTCCCAGTAAACCTGGGACCAAACTTTTTAGTTCTAATTTTTTTTTCACTAAAAATTTCTTCCAAAATTTGATTCTATTATTTATCCCATGTGTTTGCCCTTCATACCCAGTACTGTGTGTGCATGTAGGGTCTGTGTGTAAGTGATCTTAGCCCCTGAATTGGCCCTTCGCCTTTCTGAACAACATTTTATAGTGTGTATACATACAATGTACGTAGTCACATGCATCTATGTGTACTTCTTCAGGTACCCATCTCTCTTGTTCTTTTATATTTGTTAGCTTTTCAGCTCTCCTCCCTCATCCCCATTCTGAAGACAGCCGACTACCCTCCGTAGAGGATTTACAGCATCGATGAGGACGCCTTATACAAGCTTCACGAGCCAACCGCATACACTGCATCATATACATTTACTTGCCATTTAATAAATAGGTTGGTAGGTTCTTAGCATTGAATAACTTAGCTGCTCTGTATTCCCGTAGACGGTAATTATATCTCGCCCAATAGACGACTGACTTGTACTTCGTCTCTTGTTATTGTTGAAGTACATACCGTACGGTGGTAGGAGCAGTATATAAGAATTGTACTAGATATAGCATTCACAAAGTCGCCTAAAGCATTAACTTATACCTAGAATTAGTTGTTAATACTAAACTTGGTGTATGTATTCTCGTAGTGTTAAGCACACAACGGTTGACACTCTATAATGATACTAACGGTATTCCTGCGTGTACATCCGAATATGCGTAGATATTGCCCGCTGATTTTCAAACCGTTGCTATGGGAAGCGTGGTAAAGCAAGAAGCTATATGCCTTGTCAGCCTCTAGCCGTGCTTTCATGATTGGGGAGTTTTTCAGGCTACCCTGCTCAGACTCGGAGCTAAACATGCCGCTTGATAGAAATATAATGGAATTTGGGATTTGGAATGTAGGCCTATGCAAGTTAGACAATCCAACCGTAAGCTACCCAAGCTGGAAACTTTGGGCGAGGAGCATAGGCTATAGTAAGATACCTTCTGATCATACATACTGAACGACAAATTGTATGTATGTCTTGATGTTGATTTTAGCAATCGTAAAACCCACTTATATAGGTCAGGCATCTACCTATAGTCGCATTGTATTAATGCGGCTACATTAGGCTTCGACTTAGGTAGCAGTTAGGCCGGGAATAGTCTGCGAACTAATACGACCTTAATATAGGGGATGCAACGGAGACGGCTAAGGCGCATCCAGGAGCATGGCTTGATCACGGCGAAATTGATTATGGTAGTATACAACAAGGGCTATGTATATTAAACATCATGGATCTAGTATTCTACATGTCGGGTCTTACCCAATGTTAAGAGCAACATTGAACATCATTGAAGCTACCTACATACAGTATGTGGTCCGGAGTAACAAACGTGGAGATTCGTACGACTCGGCGAATTGCTTTTCGCGGACCCCGCCAAGTTGATTTGCTGCTGGAACCCCGACTACGCAAGTAGCTGGAGAGACCTGGACCGCTCGCAATTGCACATGTTCTGGAGCAACTTTGTAAGCTGGAAATACCATGTACAGTATCTTACTCGTACCCGGATATCCGACGGAGGGCGTATAGGGACTTACCAGTTACTTGCGGTATTAACAACCTTGAACTTTATCTGACGGCATGGCGGGGACGGGCACAGTACTAGGTACTATGTATAATCTCTACCTACATGTAGCCTACCCAGTAGAACATGAAGGAAGGAAACCGTTGCTAGCCCTTGACGCCATAGATGTCCCCCATCGCCGCCTCAACCTACAGTACGTATCACAGTTATCGTTTAAGAGGGGCTAAAGGATATCGGATCCATGGATAGGATGGACTTATCTGCTCCCCGCTTTCGGACCCTGACTGTATCCCCCGTGGATTCCTGTTGGTTAGCTCATAGCACGACAATTGAAAAAAATTGTTAACCCCTCATAGCGCATCCCTCATTCACTCCACAGAGCTTCCATAAGAACCCCTCTCTCACCGCTTGCTTCTGCTTACACTTCCACCATTCCTTCTTCCTCCTTCACATCCTTTTCTTCCTCAAACAACTCCCTATTCCCTCCCGATTGTTGTTTGTTAGGCATCAATTGGTCTAACTCTTCTAATTTAGAAGAGAGTTGGAAGAAGCAATCTGATTTTCTCGTAGGTCTAAATCCTTTATCCTTCGGCTTGAACCCTAATGTAGCTCCATAGCATATCACTAACCATCCCATCAGAAAACCTCTTTACTCCCAGATACGCCGAATCACCGTCAAGATGGTTCAATCTGCAGTTCTGGGTTTCCCCCGTATGGGTGTGAACCGTGACCTGAAGAAGGCAACTGAAGCTTGTAAGTATTACCTGCTGTTGACGATTGTACACGTAAGAGCAATTGAGCAACAGCGCTGATTATATGAAGATTGGGCTGGCAACCTCTCCCAAGCCGACCTTCTCGCTGAGGCCAAGCGTCTTCGTCTTGCCCACTGGAAGATCCAGAAAGATGCCGGCGTGGACATCATCCCCAGCAATGACTTTGCTCTCTATGACCAAGTCCTCTCTCACATCCAGGACTTCGGTGTAAGTTACCACCAATACCTTTGGTTTACTATACGTTTACCATGTGCTAACTTCGAGCTCCATAGGCCGTCCCTGAGCGATACTCCAGCGCCAACCTCGACCGTGTCGACGAATACTTTGCCATGGGTCGTGGTCACCAGAAGGGAGGCGTAGATGTCCCTAGTTTGGAGATGGTCAAATGGTTTGATTCCAACTACCACTACGTCAAGCCTACTCTACAGGACAACCAGACCTTCAAGCTGGCTGCCAACCCCAAGGCTGTCGTTGAGTACGTCGAAGCTAAGGAGGCTGGTATCCCTACCCGACCTGTCCTCCTCGGCCCCGTCTCTTTCCTCCACCTGGGCAAGGCCGACCGTGGCCAGAGCGTCGTCCCCATTGATCTCCTCGACAAGCTTTTGCCTGTTTATGAAGAGCTCCTCATTAAGCTGAAGGAAGCTGGTGCCGAGACCGTTCAGATCGATGAGCCCGTGCTCGTCTTTGACCTTCCTGCCAAGACCAAGGCCGCTTTCAAGCCTGCTTATGAGAAGTTCGCTAGTTTGGCTGGCAAGATCCCCAATCTCGTCTTCACCACCTACTTTGGTGACATTGTCCACAACCTTGACCTCCTCCCCAAGGATATCTACGCTGTTCACGTTGATCTTGTCCGCAACCCCGAGCAGCTCAACACCGTCTTGGGTGCTCTTGGACCTAAGACTATCCTCTCCGTCGGTGTTGTCGACGGCCGAAACATCTGGAAGACCAACCTGAAGCGCGCAATTGAGGTCGCCGAGACCGCCATCCAGAAGCTTGGCAAGGACCGCGTCATTGTTGCTACGTCCAGCTCTCTCCTCCACACCCCCCACACTCTCGCCAGCGAGAAGAAGCTGGACCCCGAAATCGCCGACTGGTTCTCGTTCGCCTCTGAGAAGGCTGTCGAGATTGCCATTATTGCCAAGGCTGTCACTGACGGACCTGCTTCTGTCCGAGAGGCACTTGAGGCTAACGCCAAGTCCATGAACGCTCGTGCTACCTCGAAGCGAACCAACAACCCCCAGGTCAAGGACAGGCAGTCCAAGATCTCTCCCTCGGACTACAACCGCAAGTCGGAGTTCCCCTCCAGAATCTCCCAGCAACAGAAGAAGCTCAACCTTCCTCTTTTCCCTACCACCACCATCGGCTCTTTCCCTCAGACCAAGGAGATCCGAGTGCAGCGAAACAAGTTCACCAAGGGAGAGATCTCGGAAGCTCAGTATGACAAGTTCATCGAGCAGGAGATTGACATGAACGTCAAGATCCAGGACGAGCTCGAGCTGGACGTCTACGTCCACGGCGAGCCCGAGCGAAACGACATGGTTCAGTACTTCGGTGAGCGTCTGGATGGCTATGCCTTCACCACACACGCCTGGGTTCAGAGCTACGGATCCCGCTGCGTCCGACCTCCGATCATTGTCGGCGATATTTCTCGCCCCGCTCCCATGACCGTCAAGGAGTCCAAGTATGCTGTGTCAGTCTCCAAGAAGCCCATGAAGGGTATGTTGACTGGCCCCGTTACCTGCTTGCGATGGTCTTTCCCTCGTGATGACGTCCACCAGTCCGTCCAGGCCGAGCAGCTCGCTCTGGCCCTCCGTGACGAGGTCGTTGACCTTGAGAAGGCTGGAATTGATGTCATCCAGGTCGACGAGCCCGCTCTTCGTGAGGGTCTTCCCCTCCGAGCTGGCAAGGAGCGTGAGGCTTACCTTGACTGGGCCGTAAAGGCTTTCAGGCTCTCTACCGTCGGCGTCGAGGATTCGACCCAGATCCACTCCCACTTCTGTTACTCGGAGTTCCAGGACTTCTTCCACGCCATCGCCGCTCTCGATGCCGACGTGCTGTCTATTGAGAACAGCAAGTCTGACTCGAAGCTCCTTGGCGTCTTCGTCGATGAGGCTTACCCCCGCCACATCGGCCCTGGTGTCTACGACATCCACTCGCCGCGTGTGCCCAGCGAGCAGGAGATCAAGGACCGTATCGAGGAGATGCTTCAGTACCTCAAGCCTGAGCAGCTCTGGATCAACCCTGACTGCGGTCTCAAGACCCGTCAGTGGAAGGAGACTAAGGCCGCGTTGGTCAACATGGTCAACGCCGCCAAGTTCTTCCGTGCCAAGCACGCTAAATAATTGGTTCTCCAATTACGAGACCTGTGTTTTTTGAATTTTACGAAGGTTGATGACGATAATTGCATGAGGATGAGGGGAGTTGCCTGCTGAATTTCTAATGGAGCTGCATAATCGATTTCAACATCGGCGTTTTAGGGTTCTCACAGGGGATCTATATCAAAAAAGTTCTATAGGAAAGACAGGCGGGAAATGGGAGCATTCAACATTAAGCATATACAGGGCGGGAAAGAATTATACCCGATGGTCCATCAACCGGACCTGGGAGTAGGTGGCGTT